GTACGTTTGTTTGGTAAATGAGGCCCAGTGTGTTTACTGGTGCTGGCATATAAAGATGAGCAAAATTACAGACTTCAAGTTAATGAGATGACTGAACAACTAGTCAACAAATTGATCTAAGTTGACTAAGACCTGTATAACTGGACCGGTTTTGGGTTCATTGGACCTCAATGCCTTTTAGAAAGTGTTTATGAATAGTTATTTCCTTCACATGGCAGCACAACCACATGGAATAAAACTCTAGCTCCTTTGAACATATTTAGCTGTTGCTGAATTTCAACAAAGACTATAGGCCTATATATGAAGACAGTTCACTCATATTACTATGAATTGGAGAAAGTGAAACAATATGGTGGAATAAGTCCGCCTTTTAAATTAAAAAAAAAGAGCCAACTGTCAACTGATAAAGTCATTGCGTCACCACAGCTGCCGTTCAAAGCTCTGGATGCCAGAGAAACAGTCAGTGTGTCACAACAAGTGTGGACTGCACATGCACATTGACTTAACCAACTTGAAATAAAAAAAATTTAACAATATTTGAGCATAAGAAACAATATTTATTGGAAAGTTCATGTCAGATGTTATTGTTAGTTTGAAATATGTTATTTAAATGTGATTTCATTATTTCCCCACAAGTAGATAGAAAATATTTTTGCAAAAATGGCTGCCTGTAGGTGTTGCAAATATGGCCACAAAGTGAACTGACTTTCCTTAAAAGTGATGTTTTCAAAATTGATTTAAAAAAAAATTATTGTATTTCATGAACATCACTTTCCTTTTAGACCAGTACTAATGCACTTGTATCCATCTTTGAAAGAAAAACAATGTAGATAAATAAAATAGAGGCACCCTCACCTTTCTACTAGAAGTTGCAGCTGTGTTGTGCAGCTCTTGATTTTGTTTTGTGCCTCAACGTTCAGCATATCGCCAGTATTGAGTCCATTAATCTCCACGACGATGTCACCAGGCTGAAGACAGGCTGTCTCTGCCTTACTGCCAGCATTCACCTTTTTGCAAAAAAACCAACAACAACATTCAACCAATCAGAACTCAGCCAAGTACAATAACTGTTCATACTAAACTGTAGAGTCAAAGTCTGTGGCCCAATAAGAAGAAAACAATTAAATTGGGGTCAATAGAGGTATTCTGAAATATATATATATATATATATATACACATACACATTTTCTTTTATTTATTTATTTATTTATTTATTTATTTATTTATTTATTTATTTATTTATTTATTTATTTATTTATTTATTTATTTATTTATTTATTTATTTATTTATTTATTTATTTATTTATTTATTTATTTATTTATTTATTTTTTTTTTTATTTTTTTGCTGAAACTACTTCAAGATAAGATTTGGTTTTCTGCAATGTATTGACCATTGTTTTGCCAATTCTGCTCATTTTGTACCTTCTTAGTGTAGATAAGATTGGTTTGATTTTTAGTAATGTTTTCATTGCGTATATTTATTCAATTTGTATTTTTATTTGTTTTACAGTGTGCAAATTTAATTGGCAAAAAATATGACTCTTTCTAAATAGGTTTTCTGAACACTTTCTCGTCTGTCATTTGGTTGAAAAGTCCCGCCCCAAACTCACACCATTGGTTGAGTCAATGTTGCTGAGTCAAACAGAGCAATGTTTCAATAACACCACAGACTTTTAACTTTTACACCATCAACCAACCAATGGCTTACTTATAGTAGTGTTAAAGTTGGCAGAAATCTTAAAAACAACAAGACAAGTGTTGCTGTTAGTTGAGCAAAGCTTAGAATCCCCTCAAGACTCAATAGTTAATAAGGTCACAACCTCATTAGTAGGAGAAGAGGAAAGCAACACCTCAGCTCGACCCAAAACACACAAACAGCCCGGCACAGAGAGGCCCTGCAGAATGCCAGTCAACTGTTGTTGTTGTTGATGTTAGCTTAAAGCAGAGGGGCAGAGGTGCCATGTCTGAGGACCTGCTCGAGTGCCAATTAACTGTTGCTACAGAGACACACAATGGAGCGTGTCTCATGTAATCAGAGTATGCCTCACTTCATGCGGAGCGTGACCATGCTTCCCCTCTGTGTGTGACGGCAGAGAAGACCCGAGAGACAGAGGAACGTGTACCCTCATACTTCACTCCAGAATTAGAATTATGCAGTTACTCTCAGTGGCGTCAAGTATTTTTATAGGAATATCTATGTAGTTTTCGGGAGACAGTTTCTGAGTTTTGTCTCACGCAACAGTGTCAAATCATGTACGTGAAAAGCTTGAGGAGTCATGGAGAGTCAGAAAGGCTGAGTTCAGACAAAGGCAATAAAAAGAGGGAGCATAAGATTTGTGCCCATGCCAAACTCCTGCTACTACACTTTGACCTGTCTCTCCATGAGACCCTTTGGAGCCCTCTTAAAAAAACACCCCGTGCTGTTCTATTCTGTGTTTCTTACAACCCCTCTCAATACCAAAGGTCTCCTGCACCGCATGGACACTGTTAAGCTCTCATTTTCTTCACATATTGGCTGTTGAGGGCACAAGCCTAGAGGACCTAGACAGTGAAGTCCTTAAAGGGCAGTTCACACATAAATGAAAATTGCAAGCCCATCTGAGCTTTCATTTACCATATTTGATGTACTGAATGTATGTGCACTGATTATATGTGATGTTCATATGTGAATAAATGTAATCTGTTTATCAGATAAAGCAATTGGATCTCTTCAGAAGACCTGGATTCTTTTACAATGTCTTTATGAACTTTTTGAAGCATAAAAGTTTTGGCTGCATGGGATTTCAATGGAGGGACAGTAATCTCTCAGCTTTCATTAAGATAATCTTCAATTGTGTATCAAAAATAAATGAAAGTCTTACAGGTTTGGAACAACATGAGGGTGAGTAAATGATGATTCTCATTTTCTGGTGAACTATCCCTAATAATATATTGCATTTGAAACAGTATGGTTATGGGAAACAATAAGAATAATGAATACCATAAATATTAAAGTCTGTTCTAAAGTGGTTTAGGTTTAAATTCAATGGAATTCTGGATTATAATGCAGACGTGACCAGGATCTGAAAGGGAAGGTTCAATTAGATGCCTTTAATTAGAAACACTGTGGTGTGTTTCTGGATCACAACATGGAACTTGTTTTCATGAAATGAAAACTTTTTTTTTTTACTTGAGAGGAACGGTTTTGGATCAATTTGAAAATTGTCCCAAAGCCCATGAAAAACAAAAATAAATGGGTTCCAGCCTAGGTGGCAGAAGTACAACAGATTCTGAACTTCTCAGATGAAAAACAGTCTTTCACGAATGCCTGAGTGTTGAAAGATTGAACTCAAAATAGCCAACCGATTAACCTGTTCTGAGAGACCAGATTCACGTTAAATAAGTGTGAACCCAACATATTTGTTTGTTTGTTTATAGTTTAAGGCCATTCCAGCAACCACACCTATATTCATGGCGAGAAAAAGAAGAAAGATCTAGACTTTAAGAGTTTTTTTTCTTTATCTTTGATAAAAATTCTAAAACTAAAACTGGTTACACTTCATTAAAAATCTTTTCATAGGATTCAACTGAAAAGATAAGAGTCCTAATATAGTTCAAGACGTCACAGTACATCAAAATATGCTCTGGTGGGACTCTGGCAAGAGGGGCATAAAGAAGGATCTTCACCCAATAACAAAAATGCATGGGTAATTCTGTAGTGGCCTTTTCGACAGCGAGCATTGTCCCAGCGATATATGGTCCCAGCAATTTACAAAATGAACATGTGTTTCCACCAAGCACAGGATTGAATTTGTAAATTTGTAAAGTGTATTGGGGTGTATGACTGAAAACTTTCTCGCATGTTTAAAAATGGTTGGCAATAATCAATTGGATGCGTTTGAGAATTTGTTTCTTGTTAGATCTATGATTATGTTTGGGTTTTTTTGTTATTCCAAGGGGAACCCAATGATTCATGCTGTGCACACTCTTGCATAAGTTCAGCATATTTTCTATTATTCTAAAAAGAGAATGGAGAATACTTGGAAGGAAAATGTAAAAAAAAAAAAAAACAATAGCTTGACCATCTGCAATGCAATACAATAACCAGAAACTTCCTCTTTAATTATACGGGTCTTGTTTGGTTAAAGTAGTCAAGGAGATAGAGGGCAAAACAGGTAGACAACATGATTAATGCGAAAAGAAAGACATTAAGCGTTTAGGTATGAGGCATCATTGCTTTAATCACTGATGCAAAAAACAAAACAAGGGGATGAAGCATGTTCTAGATTGGTTAACAGAGATGAAAATTACCTTGGAAACTGTTATGGCCTTCTTGAAGTCTCGCCCTCCAGAAATTCTGAATCCCCAGGGTGATGGGCCAATCAGGTTCACTGTAAACGGCATCATGTGACTACAGGCTGCTGCCCAATGCTCTCAGTGCTGTGGGAGGAAAAAAAGGAGTGTGAGAAGAGGGGAAAAAAAGATGGAAAACCCACAGATGGAGAGAGCGTTGGTCAAGTTTAATTTGACATCAAGCTGAAATGCCACAGATGCGTATCATAGTTTCCATATCTCAGAGCCACTGGCTGCTGTTGAAAGGTAAACTGCTTTCACCTCTTCTTCAGAACACATTTCATCCTATTCCACATGACTGCAGCACAAATCTACCGACACACTGTAACAACCAGGAATCATAGAGAGGTGCCACATGACTGACAATCCTGGAGTGTGTTTTTAAAGATGTAGCACCCATAAGGACAGCGAGAAACCACTTTAGATTCAATTTGAGTTTCTTAAACAAAACAACACCAGCTTAATATTTTCATCAATATTAAATTATCAAAATTTGTGAAAGAAATGGTTAAAAGGATTATATTTTTGAACAAAGGTGCCATCATTGTGATCAAAAACTCAAGACAGTTGCAAAATGTAAAAAAATGGCTATTAAAATTCTGACAACAACTAAGCTACTTAATCTTAAGGTGGCCAAATAAAAGTGAATTAAATCATTACAACATTCACAATGCTGATACTTTAATAGCAACAAAAAACACTCCCTGAGATAAGGGAACGAGCGTTGCATTACACGCTTATGGGAACCTCCTGTTTACTCTGATACTGAAGCCTTGTTCATGTTCGAGTAGCTGCACGAACCAATGGCACTTTAACCGACCAAAAAGGGTGGAACTGACTGCTGTATAAGTCGGCTCTGAGTGATCTTCAGTGAAGAAGATCATCTTGATGGACTCTGAAGAAGTCGAAGCAAGAAGCTCAGCCTGCTGCTTGCTGCCGTGAGAAGAAGCCCCGGCAGCGGAAGCCTTCCCCTGCGACCATTAGGTGACTACAAGAGCAAATTTCCAGCGACATTGTTGCAAATGTCACGCCACGAGTGTGGCTCAAGGGAAAACCTGCATGACGCAGATGGGCATGGAGTGCTCTCACTGAAAAAGCATGAGTCTCACCCTTCTTCACTTGCGGATCACCTTTTTCCATGAAGGCGGTCCTCCCTGGCCTGCTCCAAGTGTTTCAGGCTTAACATCTCCGCACATGGAAGGCGACCTTGTCAGCATCCCTGACCAGATTTAGCCAAAGGTGGCGCTCCAGCACCACTAAGTTGATTGCCTGCACAGTGGCCTTAGTAGTGCCCAGAGCCAAGTCAGTCGCTGTGCACAGCTCTTTGAAGGCATCAGAACTCTGGCCGGACTTGTCCATGGTGCGTAGATGTTTGTCCTGGTTGTTAAGGGGAGCTCGGAAATTGAATCCGCCTCATCCTCAATTTGTGCTGGCCTGGGACTTATCTATATTGCCCCGGCATATGCCTGAACAGGCTTACAGTGTCCTATAGAAGTGAGGGCCCACTCCACCAGGAGAATGGCCTCCTCCTGGGCTTGGTCCAGTGGGATTTCTATCGGTGATATCTGTGCAGCCGCCAGCTGGTCATCGCCATCTAACTTCACCAGGTATAACTTAGACATCCCTGCCATGCAGGCACGGATTTTGTCCGCCTAAGTTTACTTAATCCCCTCTACGCAATGGGAGAGACCTTTCAAAAGGGAACACCCAGCCCTAATGTAGATCTTAGTAATCTTGAACATTCATCTAATGATGAGCTCTTTGGAGCCATGATGGTTCACTGTACCCACTTCAAATACACTGAATATTATTGAGACCATGGTAGACGGTGGTGCAAACATTTATTACTAGCATATGTGCAGTTGAGAAATGCTACAACAGCGCAGGCTCCTGACAGTAATGGGAGTGTACCGGCACCCGTGTAGAAGACCCTAGAGCTTACTGAGATATCTGCTCCATTCAAGAACCAAGCAGAACCACAGCCAAGACCACCACAGGATTTAGTAGTCAGACATTGCATTTCGCTTTTAAAACAAGCTTTGAGTCCAGAATAAAGACGTTTTATAGTTCAAGCCCCTGACAGGTTCACACTTAATTTCACGTTAAAAGACTACAGGTAATCCCAGCCACCAAGTCCCCAATCATTTCCTTTGCTCACTCTACTGTTACTGTAAATAAATAAAAAAAAGCTTTAAAAATTAAAAAAGTCTGTCTACCTGTGACACTAATGTTCCTTAAATATACTTAAAGAAAATTGTGTTAGAAATTAGCCATTTACCAGAAATAGCTCCAAAAAAAATTTAATGATTTGAATTCACACACCCTTATGTCATTCCAAACATGCATGACTTTCTTCCATGGAACATAAAAGGATAAATTATGTGCACAGCTAAGACTGTGCTGGTCACTCTTTAACATGTAATTACAATAAATGGAGACTGAACATTTTATGCATCAAAAAGGATGCAAAAGCCCCATAAGTTTAATAAAAGAGATCCACATGACTTGCGTATTATGTTCCAAGCCTTCTGAAATCATACTATATAGCTTACTTAGCTTATAGCATTGTGGATAAAGTCAATATTTTGATGACTTCAGAAGGCTTTTTGAAGCTGAAAAGCTCCAGTCACCATTCATTGTAATAGGATATATGTTTTAATCCATGTGGGTGCAAATGTGGCTTAAATTATGACAGAATTTTGGTGTGCTGTCCCTTTAAAGATACTGAAGACACCAGTGAAGCATTGGCTTGCAGCAGCCTTGTACAAGATCTCACCAAGGTAATGATGAACTACTTACCTGACAGCTAAAACATGTCTGGACTTTCTGATGGAAAGCTTCAAAAATGAACACTATTTGCTGTCAGGATCAAGTGACGTATGGAAACTGGCTTTGATGTCAGTCAGCACATGATCTGTGATGTTTTATAGCTACTGTAAATATCTCAGATTGGAAATACTCTGTAAAACTACTGTTCTCGGGTGTGGACAGTTTGTTTTCCCTCCGATACTGAAATGAGGTTTACAGTCTTTATCTCTCCCCTGTCTGTCTGCTTGCTTACCCTGATTTAACCTTTGATAGTTTCAATATTCTTATGCAACAATGAAAAAAATAAAGACACCGTTTACATCTAATCAAAAGAATCCAGTCCATCAAGGGCCGGTCCATCATACTCTTAAATTATCAGAACTATTTCCAGTCATACACTACACAAACTTACCACAAAAGTCCTTTGGGGAAAAACGGATGTCGCTGCATTCTTGGAGAGTTTGGTCCGAGGGAATGCAAATCTACCCCATTATTAGCTCTCCAGGCAATTAGCAGCCTTAACGATGCCTCTGTTCGGGAGGATCTCTCTTAATTACTGTGGGCTCTAGAGACTCTGGCTGCTCTACGCTGTTGTTGAGTTTTTATGTAATCACAGAGGAGGCGGCAGCCACATTTCCCTCCCCTCAGAACCTCAATTAATCCAACATGTTAGTGAGGATTCCTGGCTGCTTTCACCAGTATCAGCTGAACAGAACAGAACGTTACTAGATTCACACAGAATCACTGCACGTTTTTGCTCTGATTGTAGAGGAGAAATTCAGCTGAATGGATTTGAATATGGTAATTAAGCAGTAAGAAATGGGAGTCGACTCGATGCCGTTAAGTGCCTTGCTCCATTTATAGAAACGTTACTTGATAAAACCAAATCCATTAGGTGCCATCCTGCTGCAACACATGGCCTCTGACATGCATAGTGAATCATCATAGCCATTACGGTTATGCGTTTTAGGACAGTTTGAACACTGTATTGATTAATCGGATTCCAGAACAAAAACTATTGATTTCAGTCATGTGTTAAATGAAGCTAACAACACTACACTATTGGTATTTTCTATAACTATTCAATAAATGATCAAAGAAGAAATTAGTCATTTAAAAAAAAAGAAATTAATACTTTTTTTCAGAAAGCATGTATTAATTTGAATAAAAGTGACAAAGACATTTCTAATGTTACAAAGGATTTCTATTTTAAATAAATTTCCACAAACAAATTAGGCAGCACAACCATTTTTAACACTGATATAATAATACTGTGAACTGTATATATATATATATATATATATATATATATATATATATATATATATATATATATATACACTGTGTATATACTAAAAATTAATAATGTATATAATAGAAATATTTCTTGATCAGCAAATCAGCATATTAGAATAATTGGTAACAATTTACAATAAGGTTCCATTAGTTATTGTATTAACTAACATGAACAAACAATGAAGAATACATTTATTACAATATTTGTTCATCTTTGTTAATGTTAGTTAATGAAAATACAGTTGCTCATTGTTAGTTCATGTTAATTCAAAGTGCATTAACTAATGTTAACAAGCACAACATTTGATTTTAATAATGCATTAGTAAATCTTGAAATTAACATTAAGATTAATAAATGCTGTAGAAGTATTGTTCATGCTTAGTTTATGTTAAGGGTCATATGATGCGATTTCAATTTTTCCTTTCTCTTTGGAGTGTTACAAGCTCTTGGTGCATAAAGAAAATCTGTAAAGTTGCAAAGACTAAAGTCTCAAATCCAAAGAGATATTCTTTATAAAAGTTAAGAGTCAGCCACACCTACCTAAAACGGCTCGTTCTAACACGCCCCCACATGTCTACATCACGATGTGGGAAGATTTGCATAATGCCGCCCAAATGTTCACGCATACCGCGTAACTTTTATTCTCGCTGTAGTATTGTTGACCCTGCAGCCATGTCTTGAAGGCGCTGTGTGCTTCGTTGTGAAAGCGAAACTACTTTGTTTGGTCTTCCAAAAGAGGATGATATCCTCTTCATCATGCCTAGAGCTGATCTGTGCTGGTCGCTGAGGGAATACATCAGCTTTCACCGTGGACAAAGCGGAGTCCAGCCCGGGGTCCGTCACATGTGGTTCCTGCCTATTCGTCGCATCTGCCGGGCACGCCGTTCTCGACCCCGCCGTCTCAGCTCACTCTATCCCGGCCTCAGCGCACGCTAAGCAGGGGCTTCGGCTCACGCTAGCCCGGCCTCAGCTCACTCACGCT